AAGGGGTGATGGCTTTAAACTGAGATGATTTAGATTAGGTATAAGGAAGAAATCCTCTGTGAGGGTGGTGAGACACGGGAACAGGTTGCCCAGAGAAGTTGTGGATGTTGAGCAACCTGGTCTAGTAGAAGGTGTCCTTGCCCACGGCAGGGGGGGTTAGAACTAGATGGTCTTTAAGGTCCCTTCCAACCCAAACCATTCTATGATTCTGTGATTGTAGGGGATGGTATACTTCATATGGATGGGGACAGGTTAGCATGTCAGTCTTGCCTTAGATAAACATTCAAGATTCAAAATTTAAAATGTAGGATGGTTGTTCCAGTTCCAGCAATTCTGTTGTTAGGTCCCCAAGACCCATTCCTGATTTCACTCTGCTCATCAGCATACTTGTGCATATTGATTTACCTAACACATTCAGAACACCTCAGAGCATTCAAATAAGAGTAATGTTAATTTTGGTCTTTCAGCAGCACCAGTGGCTAGTTACTTTGTTTACGGAGAATGCGTTTGGGTAAATCCATTCATAAGCCTAATGTTCAGTTCGTGGAAGAAAGATCAGTATGAGATTAGCAGTAGCTATCTTCTCACGCTATACATTTCTTGTCGATGAGATCAGTGTTTGATTCTGAGCACCAGCAATGTTGGTCTCTTGTATAAAAGAGCAGTTGCTTACCCGATAGTGTCCATTCCTTTGAGATACAGTGTCTGCGTAGGTTTCTCTGTCTGACATCTTTCCTGCTTTCAAGATAATAGTCACCTAGCTTCTGTGTTAGCAAAGTCATACTTGGTGTAAACTCTTACAATGCTAGGGCAGACACAGCATTTTTTTTTAAAGTGATTGCATATATAAGTGTATGAATTAATATGGCCAAATTAGTCCCAATGTGGTTTTGTTTCCCTCACTGAGGTTTTATATTTTTTAGAAATGTACTTCTGATTTTATTTTGCAATGTATTGATTCCCCACTGATGTTGTTAAATAAATATCATGGCTTTCAGTAGACAGGAATGCAGTCTGGAATTGTGAGACTGTAAGCACGTCACTCGAATGTGTCTGGCATAAGGATATTGAAATAATTGGCAATCCTGATGTACTGAGTTTTAAATTGCACTGTTGACCTATCAACAGGGAAGTGGCAGCTCTCAGAGGTCATTTTTCAGACTGAAAAAAAAGTGGTTACGTTCAATTCCATATTTAGTTAGTTTTCAAGAGAGCAAGATATACCTTGACTGCTACAACATTCACTATAACTGTGTTTCTATATATGAAGAGGTTTAAGTGGATTGTCGCAATGCTTATGAAAAGCTCCAGGTTTCCTGTAAGATTTAGAAAGCCGTTAACTGCTAGTGTTTTGCAGAACCATGCTATCCAGAAAGTGTGTATTTGTTTGGCTCGTTGCTCCTTCAGGAATATAGTAGTTGTACATTTGTAGCAAATCAGTTGCAGTGATATATCAATGCTGCTAAGGGAGCAGTAAGCAATACCGTGTGTACAGCAGTACTATCTGGTTATGCTTTTCTGATTATGAACAGTAGATGAGCTGTAGTAAAACAGGCCTGTGACTTTGCAGAGAACTAAATGCAAAGGAGATGACTCGGAAAATTTCCAGAAAATAATTAGTACTGCCTTTGCCATGGTGAGTTAGGATGCCATTGCATAAAATGTCATATATTGTTCCAGCTGAAATAAAAAACAAACAGTGACAAGGCAGCAGACCAGCTATCTCACTTCAGGTAAATGCTACTGAATGACATAGGTGGTTCATAAATGTAAGCAATAGCAAAAGCATAGCATAAGCGAATCGGTGAAAGATAAAATAATTCCCTGAAAGAAGAAATGCGCGAGTACTTTGTGAATAGAGTAAGACTGGCCAGAGTCAGGTTCCTTAAGTTCTACGGATCATTCTCCAGAAATGAAAACAAATAATTGAGTGGTGTGTTTTCTACGTGGCAATGTTATAGAGCAAAGGGCACAAACGCCATTCTCCAGGCGAGTACAGCAGTGCTACGAATGTGGAGAGAAGCACACGCACGTTCTGAACCTTGGCCTGGCTAAATGACTAGTGGAGCTGCTATCCATTTAATTTTTCTGTTCCTTAACCAAGATATTTGCATTAGGCATCTTTAGAATTAAGTAGGAGAAAGGGACCTTCAGAAAGTGGTTTAGAGATGTAGAGTCGTTACCTGGAAGTCACTTTCTCTTCCCCTCCATTCATAGCACAGGAAACCTGAGGCAGCTCAGTTCTTAACGTAGGCACCTAACCTAGTTGTCTAATGTTAGATGGGTTGAATTCAGGCTGAAGGACAACATCACTTACAAGCCTGAAGCTTCATGTTGCAGCACGTAGCTTCCAAACTCATGGCTTCTGTAGCTGAATAAAACATGCTGTGTGAGGCATCTCGATTCCTATACACAGTGTGTGGAAAAAGCTGGTGGACTCACTCCAGGTCCAAAGCAACCAGCATGGTAAGCTGGCAACTGTTATTGCACTTATTGCCCCTTATGTGGGGGTGGGCTTCAAAGCATTTTAAGCAGGCTACGGGGATGCAGTTCGTGGTGTAGGCTTTTCTTGATGGTAAGTGCTTAAACACTTTCAAAGTGCAGGAGAGGTTCCTTTCTTATTTTTAAACACCAAAAGGTAAAGAGAGTTCCCCCATTTTCTTGATACCCCAGTGGTTGGAGGACACTCGTGCTGAACAAGGGAAACTGTTTCAGTTCCTTTCTTAACTTGAGGAGGACACTCGTGCTGAACAAGGGAAACGGTTTCAGTTCCTTTCTTAACTTGAAGGAGGTCAAATCTATTCTCTGAACTGCCTGGGTTAGAGGCTGTGTGAGTCTTTTAGCCAGGGCTGTAGAGGTAATGTAATTAATTGTTTGAAAAGGAATTAAGGTTCATTTGGTGAGATACAGTTACTGGAAATACGAGTCTACACACTGCAGCATCCCCTTGGGTCCAGTTTTTACTTCAAAGACTGCAGAGTATTTATTTATTTATTTATTTAATGAAACAAAGTGATGAAGCACTTCTGCCAATGTTAAGTGCTTATATGTTTTTAGGGGTTTGGGTGGGGGATTTTGGGTTTTTTTTTTTTTTTTTTTTTTTTTTTTTGGTAATCTGGCACCAAATGGTACAGACACATATCACTCAGGAAACTTACAGGCAGACAGTTGAATCTGGACTTCCTAAATCCCAGATGAGAAACATTCTTACCCATCCTTTCAGGAATTGCACTGATGCTAATACTTAGCAGTTAAGAAACTGTCCGATCAGTATAATTTTGCAAAAAATGACAGTTGTCTCTTGGAAGTCCTACATGACAGGTTGGTTTGATTTTTTCTGAAATGCCAAGAATGCCTGAAGTTATCTCTGATTTATATTAACTAGCATTTATTCAGACTGATTCTCAAATTGTTTCTTGTTTATATTTTTCCCATTTTCTGTGAGATGCAGGTGACATAAAGTCAAAAGTGACATAAAGTCGAAAGAGCTTCATAAAGAATATATTTATAGCTGGTTTTGTTATTCCTAATATTTTCAATAATAACAGAAATTATTAATCTTGGGTACATTTGTTAATCATTAGAGTCACAGTCAATTTTGCCTCTCTTCCAATTCTGTTTTTCCCAGATGAAATAATTGTGCAGAAGCCAGAGCTCACCAGTCCATCGATCTGTCACGCTCCTGGTGGGGAATACTTTATAGAAGGAGAGACATGGAATATTGATTCTTGCACACAGTGTACGTGCCACAGTGGACGTGTCCTGTGTGAGACTGAAGTCTGTCCACCTCTTCTTTGCCAAAACCCCACCCGCACACAGGACTCCTGCTGTCCACAGTGCCCAGGTATATATTGACAACCAGCTTTCATCAGAATCCTTTCTTGATCTGAGAATGTATGATGTGAATATTGAATGTTTCCGTATGTGCACAGTTGGTTGTTGTGCTGCCTTTGTTCTTTAGCAGTTTGGAGTGAGAGCCCGCAGTCCTCTCTTTCAACTGCAAAACTTGACTGTGTGCAAGAGATATCTTACATGTAAAGGGGAGCTGTGGCATTGAAGTTTGAACACCTTTGAAGGCGATCTAATAATGTAAGGGTTGCATGAGGGACCAGAGTCCTTAGTTGGAAGGTTTATGAAATACGCACTGGCTTGTTTATGGAAACATGCAGGATTAGAGAAACTTCAAAAGTAGTCAAAGTGCTAGGCAGTTACAGGCTTGTTTCTTTTTCTTTCTACATGCCTTGGTTTCTGTGAACCTTTTTATTACTATCTTGTCTATTTGGGATTTGGTTTCAAAAATACTTCTGTTTGCTTTTACCTTCACCTGGTATAATTTGAGAGTGACTTGAAGGCAACTGAGTAATATCAAAGCATTCCAGCCCAGCAGGTGTGCCAGATTCCTCCTAGACTGCCTCACAGTGTCAAGAAGGTAACAGGATTTGCTTTCCCCTGAGGAAAGAGGTGCAAATATAAATAAATGTGAATTCCTACTTTACATAGCAAATGGGGGACTTTGTTGCAGTGGAAATTTAGTCCAAGCCTGTGAATTGTATGTAAACTCACTGAGATAACATTTGTCTTTATTAAAAACAAAATCTAAAAATTTTACTTTATGAAAAAAAATAGGTTTTGCCATTTCTTCTACAGGATGTTTGTTGGTTTTTTAAGTGGTTTTTTTCTGACAAAATATTTTCAGTAAAAAAGTTAGCCAGTTCTCCTGACTTCCATTTTTCTCATTATTAATAACAGCAAACATTAACTTCAAAATACTGTTTGGAGGAGCTGATCTTTCCTCACTCACTATGTAAGGAGTTTAGTTTCATAACTTACAGAGATTGAGAACCTGATCTGAGTGCCCTTATGAATCCTTTTTTTCCTTCTCCTTTTCTTATATGTTCTCTGCACATACAGTCATATTTATTGATCCATAATGTCTGTTAAGATACAGCTTCATTGCAAAAATATGTCTCCCCCATGTGCGGGCATGAGAATTAAAGCAGACCCATTGGCATCAAGCTGAAGCCTGACCAAGTTCCATTTGTTTCTCAACAGCTTATAATTAGCTAATATAAGTCCACTAGCAAAGGCGACAGCAGCATAATAGCTTTTCACTTTGCATCATTCAAGGATTTGAACTGACATGGCAGAAGCTGAGATTCAAGTTTTAGATTTAAAATTTAATCTGTCTAATTTGAGGTGAATTCCTATATACCATTCAGTTCAGAGCATTCAGAGCGGCTTTCTGAGGGGCTGCTTCTGATGGTGATTATTTTTCACTTTGCTGTCTTTTTTCTCTTTTTTTGTTTTGTTTTTTTTTTTTTTTTGAGTAAACTCAATAAACGTCTACATGAACTTTATTCTAGAGCACATCATGAGATCCTCATCACATGTAAGGACTGAAGAGGCATAAGGCTCTGTCCTTCTAGTTCTCATGAAGTAGTGAGCCAATGTGTTACAATTCCACTGTGTTCTTCAAGAGTGAACCCTCTGTTGAGGAAATAGGAGGGAAGTTAGCTACTGTAAGTTAAATAACATAATCTGTTTATATTTACAGATGAGCCTCTTCAGCCCTCTTCATCAAGCAATGAGAGCATGCCTAGTTATTGCAAAAATGATGAAGGAGATATTTTTCTGACAGCTGAGTCCTGGAAGCCCAATGTCTGCACTAGCTGCATTTGCATGGATGGTGTGATTAGATGCTACTCTGAGTCTTGCCCACCGGTATCCTGTGAGAGACCTGTTTTGAGAAAGGGACAATGTTGTCCTTACTGTATTGGTAAGCAAATAAAAATAGTTGATAACTTGCTGTTCCCTTCTTGGGAATAAGAAAGAAGTTTTATTTCCAAATTTAAATATGTTTTCCCTTTTTTGGGGACATGCAGTTTGTGCCTTCAGTTGAACTGGAGCGTGAAATCTGCATAGGGAGCTTTGGGGATCATGATTTGTGGTTTTGAGGTAGAAGTGCAGGAAGATATAAAAGTAACTTGCCTGCAAACTTGAGAGGACATCCTCCTGAAAACTTGGTAATATACCTTACTAGATGAAAACATTATGCAAAAATTGTTTTATTTAAAGGAAGATCTGCCAGGTAACACGCGTGTTATGTCAAGATATGTGGTAATATGAGGAAAATATTAATTATGACTGCAGAAGATAAGCTGAAGCATAATGAAATTTCACAGAATGGAGAAGTGTTGATAAGGCATCTAAATTACAATACAGGAAAAAACAGGAAGTTCATTAAAGATAGTTGTAGAAGAGGCAAAATAATATATTTGAGAAAAAATTCAGGAAAATAATTTTTTTTAAATACTAAAAATGCATGAAGAATGAAGGGCCACGTGCTGGTTTTGAATTTGGAGTTGAAGTAAATGGTGGATGCTGTAGATAGTGAAAATTGCCAGGCATTTTCAAAGTTGCAGGACTTGAGATTCCTGATCACTTTTTCATTGTATTTTGAATAGGAGTATTTATGTACAGATTACTTTTTTGTGAGTTCTCAGTAAGTACAAAGGCTATAGAATGGAAGCTGCTGGTAGAGAAGAATTGTATAATGAACTTACTGAAATTAAGTCTTTGTAGCATTGTTGGAAAACATTCAGAGCTTACTATAACCTTCATTTCCAAAAGTAGTAGGGGGAGATACAGTAGAAAAGAATTCACTAAAAAGGAATATAATAAAATAATCATTAATTGAACATGTGAATCAACTTGCCCATCTCTAAACAATACAGTTCTTCATCAGAAAGATGTCAGAAAGGTTGTGAAGTCCTTTCAGATATGTACCATTGATACAGCTCTTGAAATCTTTAATTCATTGCAGAAAAAGTATCTTTAATAATAGGTGATACAGTTTTATAGGCTATGCAAGGAATTCCATCAAAGAAATGCCTGGAAAAGTTAGAAAGTATCAAAATTTCAGTTGCCCTCGGAACCCTACTTAGATTCCTGATGAGGACATTTTGAGGGGAAAATACTATGTTAGCCTATTACTATTTTCTCATCGTGGTTTGCATACAAAATGGAGAGGATTTAAAGTTTCTTTGACAGCTGTCTTTCTGCAGGCTTTTCTTCCACTGATTGACTTTGCAACCATAAAGATCGTTTTAATCCAGAATACATTTAAATGTTAAAAAAATACGAAGTGTATGCAAAGCTGGGCAATCAAACCAGTGGAGTCAGAACATGAGCCTTATTACTGTACTGGAGAGTCCTTTAGGTCAAGGAAGGGATGCACCACAGGGACTAGTGCCATGAACTACAAAAATAAAACCTCTAGAACTTTGTGCCTACACCTTGCATGTCAGGTTTGCAAGTATATACACACAACGTGTAGATAAGGCTTTAATTAATTCACTGTGAATCCCATATAGTTGCACAATATTGCAAATACTTAAATGTGTGAGCTGTAAAAACCTGATGGTTTTTTTAGTAGCAACTGCTCAGCAATATGAAATACAGAAGCCAGATTTTAATTAGTGCTCAGATACGAAGACTTTCAATGATGATACATTTTATTAATCTAAGCTGTACTGTGTTGTCAGTATGTTTTGTGGTCTAAATAACTGAAATTCATGGAAACTTACTTTTTTAATGGTTTCTATGAACTATATACTCTTGCCTGTAAGAAGAGTAAGGTCGTGCATTTAATTTGTCTTCCTCGTTCTTACTGTTTTCCTCTTAATTTCTTGTGAACAGTGAAGCACGTCTTTGTACAGATTCTTCCTTACTATTTTCATGTAATAGTTGATAAAATGTTTAGTAAGCAAACTCTGTGGAAACAGGCCTTCTTCATTTATTGGAATTTCAAAAATTATGCACTGTATTTTATTCTGCTTCTTTCTGGATCCAGATCTGGTTAATGCCTAACAAGATTCAAATTTAAAATTTTACAGGCCTTGGATGCTTTGTTGTTTGTCTGAATCCTCAAATTCATCCTGTGTGTTCAACGTTCTTCTTTCTCGTGCAAAGAAAGATTAATTTGGAAAGATAACTTCCTACTCTGGAGCGGATAAAGGGATATCTATTTGGTTAGAAACAAGATTAGTCTTCTGTGGAAAACGGAGCAACGACTGTTTGTTTACCAGATGAGATTGATTTACTGGTGCAGCTAGAGGAAATTTGAGAGAAGACAGGTGGAGCTAGACATGATATTCTGAACTGCATTTTTGTAGTGGGTTTCTTACTGCAAGTGTCTCTTGTTTCCACTGTCCTTGAGCACTTGTTGGTGTTGTGGCCTTCATCTTCATCCTGTGCTTATACTTGCATAGAAATGGACACCAAAATGGGAGACACACAGAGGATACTACTTTCTTAGGACTAAAATTTTCCTCTCGAGGTTCAAAGGTGCAACACTACTGTTGTGATTTTACCCTTGTTCATTCTTCTAAAAAACATTTACTGTATTAAATTGTGATGTGTTCTTTACAAACTTGCAAAAGCTTGAGCAAGTTAAAGGACTTTTCCAGCCAAACCAGCTGTCCTGAGTGGGACGAGGTAGCACTTTTGGGAGCAAAACAGCCCGGAGTGCTCAGCTTTAGGTCTGCATAGGTAATGAGCAGTAGAGGACTGCTCAGGCTGTGTGCCTCACCCTCTCCCCAGCCATATCTACTTTCTGACCAACACAGGGCTCCACTGGCTCTGTATGCCAACATGCAAGTCACCTATGGAAGAACCTAATGTGCTTTTTGCAGCTTGCAAACACCTTTTCCTCCCACTCTTGCTTTCCCATGTCCACCCCATATTCACTTACAAAATCTTCTACTTGGAGAAGTTGGGTCGCATACCTACAGCCATGGAAGCCATGGGATACCCATACCAAGGCCCACTGGAACATTTATGCTTTTCAGATAATTCCATTAGTATTTTCACAATAGTACTTCTTGCTGGTCTCCTTTTGCATTTGAATTTACTCTGTCCAGATCTGTTGCGCTGGTCTGCTGACTGCTAACCTTGTTATTCCAGATGATGTCAGTCTATTATGTTGTCACTAATTAAAAGCTGTACTGATGGCCAAATTATTTAATAAGGCTTTTTATTTATATTTGGGAGGTAATTCTAACTGACATATTTACATATGTAATCTGTCTGACTGTTAAACCAGTATTTCTCTGACAGCTTAAGAAGTTACTTTGCGATTTCATTCTGTTATCTCATGTGTATGCTTAATCTGCAAATTCATGTCATCAGCAGGTTGCATCATAATAATTTGTGCTCTAAGAAAAAAAGATAGTGAGAAGCTAAGATGAAAATGAGGTGCTGCTTGGCTTTTGGAGGTTCTGCTGTGTAGTTTTATTTTGATTATCTATCTATAAAGTCCTAGAGCAGCAAAAAACATCCTAGGCTAAACAGTTCATGACTGTCTTATCAGTGAAATAGAAGGTATACTGCAGACCACCTAAAAGGCTTGCGTAGCACGCAGCATAAAAAAAATGGTGTATTGAATGCTTAGGCAGAAAGTGTAATGCTTAAGTGTTTTCCCAAGACATACTTGCTTCATCAAGTCCAGGCCCCTATTACGTACTGTGTCAAAATCTATCTGAAAAGTTGTTAGTTTTACAGCTCTCAATCTTTGGGAAAGGTGTTCTGGAACCTCACTTTTTTCTGAGGGTTAAGATCACACCAATTTCCAATTTATATAATACTAACCATGAAAAAATGTACTGAGTTTGGTTATTGCTCTTTTCCTGGGGTTTTCCACTGATGCAGTTACAGGGAATGATCAGATCCTCTTTGAATCTGTTTTATCATAATAGTCTAAGCACTTCTAGTTCTGTCACCTGAGAGTTGCTTCATCCTTCTTGGCATCCAGCCTAATCTTTCCTTCAAGTATTCCAGACTGAGTTCATCTTTCTTGAAGCTTGGTAATTAGAAATGTAGGTAGTCTGGGTTTTTTCTTAGTTAAATAGGATTTACTAGGAAACAAGGAGGAGGAGGAGTTGGCAGTCTCAAACAGTCAAACATTAAAAAAAAAAAAAAAAAAAAATCATTTTTTTCTTCATTTTCACAGCACTTTTGATATAATGATGTGATGTCGCAATCATCCATCCTCTAGCTTCTTGCATGAGGAAAATGAGGAGAAGCAGACCAGGCTAATTATGTACTTCATAAAGAAGCAGAAATGACACTTTTATAACAAAGATTTTCTGGAAGATGTGGACAGGGTCTTTTAATTACAGCTGGGATTTCGTCGTAGCTATCGTTTCACTTTGGTGTTTGGGGAAGAAATCAGATTTGTGTGTAATTGGCCATTACCACATGATCACACCACTCTGTTTTCCTTCAACAGAAGATACAGTTCCAAAGAAAGTGGTCTGCCACTTCAATGGGAAAACATACGCAGATGAGGAGCGCTGGGACATTGACAGCTGCACACACTGCTACTGCCTGCAGGGTCAGACTCTCTGCTCCACTGTCAGCTGCCCACCCCTTCCTTGTGCTGAACCCATCAACGTGGAGGGAAGCTGCTGTCCCATGTGTCCAGGTAATGTGATGTGACAACCCAGATTATTGTAATGCTGATTTTCGAGCACTGATAATAAGGTTTTTTTAATTGGTTTTTGAACGTCAGTCCATGTTTGAACAGTATCAAGAAGACGAGACGTTTTGACTTCAGGAAAATGAATATTCTTAACAGACAGGCATATTGTGCAAATATATCGCTTGAATTTTACTTATTCTGAGAACTGTGAACTCAAAAGTTAGTTGCTTGTCCCTGCTCTGTCCTTTCACAAGGTTACGGAAATACATGAGTGAAGTAGGACAATGAATATTCTTACATCTCTGCAGATTCTGTCAGTGATTAACGTTTCTGTCTTTTCCGAGTCTCTTCATTACTTTTCAACTATTGCATTGCTTTATTTATCATTTTAACTTGGCTTAAAAGTAATATGAAATTTTCTTAGCTATGGCCACAAGGGACATAAGAATTGCAACTGGTTTTTAATGCTAGTCCTGACAGACTTCTGCAGGAGTTTGCTCATCTTATTCAGTCAGCTGGTAACTACTTCCGACAGGACAAGTGGGGAGATTCAGCAGTACCCCCTCTTGCAGTTCTGCTACTTTGAGGACTACAAAAAAAGGAAGGCAAAGAAACCAGCACTGACAGTTAACGTATCAGCTGGGAAAATGTAGCCTTCCCTTGGTTATTTTTGTTGTTTAGTATCACAAATGAGCAAAGCTGTAGTAAAGTGTGTATTCTGAAATGGTATTTTCAAAAGCAAACTTGTCCACACAAGTACATCATCTCATTCACATTAGGATAATGATAATGGCAGCAGGCATGTATCCTGTATACAGTATGAAACAGGTTTTAAAACAAAAACCCAGACTAGCAACGGTGAAAATTCTGAAACAAATTAAAGGATTCATAGGACAAAGCACTGCAGATGGCCAAGTATATTTTCTGAATTAAGAGCAGCACTGGGAAGTTAAGCAGCCTGTAATTTGTGAAACACGTTATCTCATTTCACAGAGATGTATGTACCTGAACCTACTAACATCCCCATTGAGAAGACAAATCATCGAGGAGACATTGAACTAGAAGTACCAAACTGGCCAACACCGAGTGAAAATGACATCATCCACATTCACAGAGGTAAAATCTGATACAAACTGGGCTAACTTAGGTCTGTGTTTATTCCCCATGTTTTAATGCATCTACTTGTTCTATCCAGGTAGCATCTGTGTAATGCTTTGAAAAGGTGGTTATCTGAGAATATTCTTCAGTGCAGAACTCTTACGTGCATTTTGCTTTGAGTATAGATGAGTCAGTCTATTAAATTATATTTATGCAATTTGGTCTTATTATGATTCCATCTTCAGCTTGGAAGAAACATCTGTGTTGGTATGATGGAGTTCTATAAAATTAAGAATGCAATAAAATGATGAATGAGTCATTCTGCAGTGTCTTTTCTGATACAAAAACTAGAAAGCAGGCTGTTGTCAGGACACTGGAGTCGATAGACGTTCATTTGATCTATCTGGAATTCTTACATTGATAAACAAAAACGGGAAAACATGTACCACAACTTAACATATACCATAGACAAATGCTAGGAAAAAAAAAAAAACAACACTTCACAGGTATAATGACACAGGGCTAATAAAGTTGTCTAAGGATGTAAATCCATTTTTTGTTTAAAACTGTGCTGAAATCATTATTCCGGGGTAGGGGAAACACTCTATGACACAGTCTTTGTTAACCTTTTCTAATTGAAGGACTACCTAAACTTGTATATATTTTTTTTAAATCCAAGGATGATCTCATAGCACACTACTGCTTGGTGGCTAGGAGAAAGGATACATGAAATGTAACTGCTTTATAAAATTGTAAGCTTACACTTTTATAATTACAGCATTTTCATTTCTCACAGGCATTAGTAGCTGGTTTGCAACTATCCTGGCTGAGGAATTATAAACACACACTGCAAGTTGTGTGGGAATGTTGTATATGTCATTGAAAATTGCCATTCTTTGCAATTACATGCAAAACTTGCTACAGTCCTAGTAGACTGCCAGCAGTCTGTTTTCACAGGCTGAGTGGTGCAACTATTGTAATATGTTCTCAACAAAGGAGAGAGCGTACACATCAGAATTGTCTTACCAGTTTTTAAAGAAGAAAAAAAAAAAAAAGAAAGAAAAAAGGGCTTTCATCCTAAGACTTCCAGATTTTCCTCGGCATAGAAACACAGGCTGATATTTTTACAAGTGGGAATTTGGTTGTGAGCAGCTAAGATGATGCAAACGCAACTGAGCTAAGAGGTTATTGTCAGACTTGCTTGTTATTGTGCTTTAGCTTCCATCTCATTTCCTCTCATTTTGATGGCCTTTTCCCAGCTAATATAGTCACTATATAAGGAATTACCTTTCAGTTGTTCTAATTTATATGAATAAGGTTACATTTCGGGAGAGAAAGTCCAAATTCATGTGAGTGACAAGATCCACGACTGCGACTTTCATCATTACATTCTTCTTTATGGTCAAGGCCCATTTATCATTACTAACAAACGCTCACATTTGCCTTGCAGACATGAGTCATCTCCAGGGAGAGTACAGAAGTGGCGGCGGACCGCACCCAAGTGAAGATGCGTCAGTTAGCTCTGTTGCCTTGGTGACAATTCCAATCACGATAGCGCTGTTACTGATCATCGTCCTTCTGCTTGTCAATCAGAAAAAGCAGTGGATTCCAGTGTCTTGCTACAAAGCTCCAACAAAGGTGCCGTGTTTATGTCTGTTTCCAGGCTTTCACTTTTTTGGAAAACAAAAGTAACTAGAATACTGCGTAGGATGCAATTGAGTTCACATCATCTGAACTCTCTTAAATTATTTTCTCTTTATGTCTTAAACCATTTTATACCAGTCAGTCTGCTGGTATTTATTTAGTGTCCTAACTGACTTTTTTCACTATCAAACAAAAACATTTCCTGCTCCATATAGTAATGAGTTGTCACTAGATAGAAATCAAGCTCAGCGAAAAAATAAAAAAAATACCCAACTCTGTATATGTGTAGGTAAATACATGCAATTTTCTGCAGTCAAACTCGTAAGAGAATATTTTTGCTTTCTTAACTTTCATCCACTTTAAAAGTGTTGTCCAACATCAGGTACTGTAGGTACTAGTAGTGTTTATCACATTTTCTAATAACAGCATCATATGGTTCTGGGATTAATATTTTAAGAGAGATCTCAGGAAATCTACCTGTTAAGTATTCTGAGACTACCAAAAAAAGGAAGAAGCAGGTAGCTTGGAAATGAACAGTGAAAAGAGCATTGTTTTGTTTTGAGTAATAGTTCTGTCAGCAGACTAAGCCCTTACTCCATATTCAAATGCCATTTATATCAGATCCCCAATTTATCCCACTTATATTTCCTAGTTCTAATCAAACAGACTTTGTCCATACTTGGAACACAATTTGAGAGCATCTTTTCTTCAGTTCCAGCTAGAAGAGTAACTTTAAAAATTAAATGTCCATATTCTTTCTGTCACTGCTGTAGAGCTTCAGACTAAGCCCTTACTCCATATTCAAATGCCATTTATATCAGATCCCCAATTTATCCCACTTATATTTCCTAGTTCTAATCAAACAGACTTTGTCCATACTTGGAACACAATTTGAGAGCATCTTTTCTTCAGTTCCAGCTAGAAGAGTAACTTTAAAAATTAAATGTCCATATTCTTTCTGTCACTGCTGTAGAGCTTCAAAAAAAAAAAAAAAAAAAAAAAAAAAAGTCTTTTTCCAAAACGTTTACAAATATAGTCAGAGCATAAAGTTGAATTCAATTGTAATTAAATAGGAAGCATGAAGAATCAGTATTATTCCAATTCCAGTCTTTCAAGACAAGTGAGCGATAATCAGTTTCTGAATTTCTTAAGGAATGCATTTAAAAACTCATTTTTAACTCTAATGTATTCACTCCTAAACTCTCAGAAAGGCTGCTATGTGACAAAATAGTTGAAGCTGAAGTAAAAATCACAACTTTCTAACTGTGGAACTATAATCAATAATTCTATGTACTTTTTTACTTCTGAAACATCATTTTTTTCAAATACTTCTATTGCTGAAACATTTTTTCAGTGTCACCAAAAGGCATCGTCCATATGCTAAGAAAGCGCACTTTAAGCCTCATACAGATTCAATGCAAGACCATGAATATGCTGAACTCGGATTTCTTGTGAGGGTCTTTGTCCTAAATGTAGCTTTCTTTTAAGGTTTCTTTAACTAGGTGTCACTCATGAGTTTCTCCTATTCCTTGCTGGGCAACTGATGGTTCCTAGTAATAAATTTTGGCAAGCCTGGTTTTGGCTTATGTTCTTTCTGTTCAGAATAGTCCAGCTGTTCAATAAAGAACGAATCACCAACTGTGCTTAAATCATACCAATACCAAAAGAAAGATTACAGAAAGGATGTTTAAAATTACAGATGGACTGCTAATGTTTAGCCCTGATTCCGTTAACATTATTGAACCTTCTTTGTGAATCCAGTCCACATACTTTTGAAGAGCCAAATGTAAAACATTCTACAACAATGTTTTGTAATAAATATCTGGGTAGAAAAACCTTTTTGTGATAAAGGTTACTGAATGTAAATTCTTAGTAATAAAAGCCCTTCTGATTTAAGTCTTGGAAAAACAAGCTACACCAGTGGAAACTGGAATTTTCAAGATTTGTAGCATGCTTATAGTGTGAGCATTGTCACTAACTTTGTATGTATACATAGAGTATGCTTACTGCCTGTCCTCCTCCGTGCTTAGCCCAGAAATATTTAAGGTAGTGTGCACCCAGCATTGTTTCACCTTCCTCTCAGCTGCAGAATCTTTCAGCTGAAGGATTCTCAAACAGAGGAATGGTAGGACTGGATATGGGAATACCAGAGCTCCGTTCAGAAGATGAAAAAGTGATTCGGAAGAGGGTGTTGGTCTGTTACTGTGCCTGGCATAAGCCTTTACCAAGTTTAGCAAAAGTCCAGACTCTTTCACTGCCGATTCGATTTTGTTTTGTGCTTATGGACTTGAACCATAAACATTTTTTTAATTATGGGTGAAATACAAACATTTTTTAACTGATTCAATATTCCCTTTCTGTTTTAACAGCCTTCTTGCCTAAACAATCAACTGGTGTATGTGGACTGCAAGAAAGGTACCATGGTCCAGGTGGACAGTTCTCAGAGGATGCTAAGAATTGCAGACCCAGATTCAAGATACAGTGGATTTTACAGCATGCAGAAACAGAACAACCTACAGGCAGATAATTTCTATCAAACAGTTTGAAGAATTGCACCCTTACCGAGGATTTAAGAAAGAGAGAGAGAGAGAGACTAAGTCTGCTATTAAAGTAAAACTAGAATTGTGCACTTGCTTAGTGGATTGTATTGGATTTGTGACTACATGTACAGCTCTAAGACCTTACTGGGACGAGCTCTGACTCCTGCAATGTGCCAGAAAAAGCATTCCCACTTTTCCTTGAGATAACTGACCAAGTGTTTTCTTAGAACCAAAGTTTTAAAACTTGTTAAGATGTATTTGCTTGTAACATAGCTATAGAGGTTTTTTGGGAGGGGGAATCAGGGGCTAGGGGTAGGCAATGAGGTAAAAGGAAGCTTCAGAGAAGAAAAGCTGGTCATGCTTGGCTGGAGAAGAAAATGAATAAAGAATACTGCCGAGCAGCAGGATAGTGGTTTTTCTTGTTGCTCTGAAATTGCATCTGTTGCAGCAAAGCCTAACCCCAGGTGAAAAAAAATATGAAAAGGTCTGATTTTTTTTTTCCCAGCTGTTGCTACAGTAATGTACTCCTAGAACAGAATTTGTCACATCACAGGTGTGGTGTAGCTGCAAATATTTTTCTATATGATGAGAAGCTGCAGTAGTTAATGAAATAGCAAGGAAAAGGTTATAGCAGAAAATAAAGGGTGGGTTTATTAAGGATGTATAAAATTATACCTTGTGCTGCTTTTTGTTTTTATTTTTGTTTTCTTCAAAGCTGATTGGCTAGATTAGCCAGACTTTGGCAGAGTTAGCAAATGACTGAGGCCTAAGTAATTCCTGATATGAGCACTGGATCTTTTGACAGCAGTATTGAAGGAAGGAAGGAAAAGTCAAGAACACCATGCAGTTCCAGGGGCTTTTGTTTGTTTGTTTTGTCTGTTGTGGTTTTGTTTTGTTATTTTATATCGATCTCTGGTTGTTCATACAGGAGAAGGAAAAATATTTTTGTCGGACAAAGCTCTTGCTTACAAGAGAGTAAAAAAGAGACTGTTTTAAGGTTGTTTTTTTCTTGTTGATGTTCTTATTTACTGGTATGCAGATTTAGAAACTACTTCCATGCTAGGAAGCTGCTTAATTTTAATTGTATATTACTCAAGCACCTTTTTTGAAGCTCAGAAAAAAAAGGAGATCATGCTTCTTTAAACTTTAGCATTATAGGAATATTTATGTAAATATAATTATGCTAAAAACAACAAAAAGTATTTGTATGTTTGTGTATATATATGTATATACAAATGCATGTAGGTATACATATGTATATATACGTGCATGTGTATATACACTATACATATATATACTGTATATATAAAATACTATGTATACAGTATATATTTTTTCTATTTTTTTTCTTGTTGAATGTATTTTTTTCTCAGAGAGATTTTACCCAGAGCAGAAACAGATAAACAGGCATTCCATATCAATGCTTAATCGCTTGTGAGTTTAGGAAAGACAAGAAAAGAGCATCTCATTCTACCTACAGTTTGATTTGATTTGATTTGAAAGTGTTTGTGTGCGCGCGTGTGTGTGTGTGTGCACTCTTGTGTTTGCGTGTGTACAGTACGTGCACGATTATAGCAGTAAGCGTTGCTCTTGCTACTTGCTACATTTCAGGGTGTTTCTTATTTTTCTTTTCCTGCTTAGCCTTAAAAAGGCTTTTTAATGAATGCATTGGCTAGAGACACTGATGACAATATACATGCAGCACTAATCAGCTCCATAGAATAACACCATCGGCTCCTGGATTTTCTTTTTTTTCTTTCTTTCTTTTTTTTTTTTTTCAAACAATTGTTTGAAACAACTACTGGAATATTGTCCACATTAAGCTGGAAGTTTGTTGTAGCTTGCCTCATTTATAACTCTGAAATGCATTGGCTAGAGACACTGATGACAATATACATGCAGCACTAATCAGCTCCATAGAATAACACCATCGGCTCCTGGATTTTCTTTTTTTTCTTTCTTTCTTTTTTTTTTTTTTCAAACAATTGTTTGAAACAACTACTGGAATATTGTCCACATTAAGCTGGAAGTTTGTTGTAGCTTGCCTCATTTATAACTCTGACTGTATAATACAATGGTGACTTTCCAAACAGGTCTTGGCACTTTTATACTAATTACCCATTTGTGCATTGCCTTTTTTCTTTTACAAATGCTTGTCATAAGAGACACAGATACCCATTATGCTTAATGTGAAAAGAAAATGTATTTTTTGTAAAGGAACTCTCAAGTATTGTTGTAAATACTTGGTCAGAGGTTGCTGAACTTTAAAACTGAAAAAAAAACCCTAATTTATTATTATAATGACCTAATTTATTAATCTGAAGATTAACAATTTTTTTGTTTTAGAATATCAAAAAGGTGTTCTAGCTGTTTGCATCAAAGAAAAAAATAGGTGTATCATTAAGGGTCAACATTTTTTCTGCTTATATAACTTCAGTTTCCAACCACCAATAAGAAAAAATGTAGTCTCCCCAGTGTTTTGTACTCAATCTGATATTGAAACAGAGATGTTTCTGTCCAGTTACTACAAAGATTTTGTCAAGACAAAACATCCATTCCTTGCATAAGAGTAAGCAGTCTTTATCCAGAAATTGTAAATGCTTGCTTTTGTTTTACAATCAAGGCCATATTCTGAAAATATTAGCAGGATATAGGACATGGTGTAAAATGTTTTTTATTATTATTATTTTATTATTATTATTTTAAAGATATGATTTGCGGTTCAGCAGATTGCTTGTTTACTTTTTTAACTGTAAGGCGGTTTCTTGTAATTTGGCTCGTGGCAGCACAATAAAAAAATTTTAAACCTATTGATGCATATTTTCTTAAATTTTCATATTTATTATTTCCATACACTGGTCCTTGAGACATTAGTTTATATCTTGGTATCATGGTGATGTTTTTCCCCTGGGAGTAGGAATTCGTATTATTGTCCTGCTGACCTAAAATCAGAACAGTTCAGAAAATACTGTGGGTAGAGAACAGTTTGCAGTTACAGAAAGTTCTGGGTTTTACAGTAAAGAATTTTCACATTAGAGGGATTTGTGGAATTCCAAATAGTTTCACCATCCAGTAAAAAGCAATCTCTCAAACACAAAGTTAGGCCTTTGCCCTGCCATTGAGTCTATCATCAATCATATGGGGCTGTGAGATGAGGTCCTACAGAAAGCATGTGGAATCAGAATTTGCACTTCAAGGACTTCCTGAGCCGCAGATCATTCATTTACCTATTCGCCTATAATATTGTCGTCTTCTATTAATTGGTAAAGTAATGGACTTGATGCGAAGTTCTGGTACGTGACTTCCTGAAGCAAGAAGTTTTTCAGCTTAACTACTTGCTGTGTGAAAAACTGCCTCCTTTTCTTTCTTTCAACCTACGCCTTGATGGTTTCATTTGGTATCCCTTACTTTCTGCATTCAAAGCAGCAGTGGATCAGTATCTGTATGCCACCCATTAATTTAGAGACCTGTATCTTCTCTCCATTTTTTCTGTGCTGAAAAGCGCAGGATGATTCTTTGGGAGCTGTTCTATACCTTCTGGCCAACCTTGCCGTTCTTTGTACTTCCCATTCTATTACATCCTTCTGAGATCAAGGGCAAAAGGACTGAAAATGTCCACGTTGTTCAAACACGGTACGCCCTCGAACTAGCATCGTATTTACTGTTTGAGTCAGTGGTGAGTAGTAATCCAATGTTCTTGCAGAGCTAGCTGCAATAATCCAAAATGCCCAAATAATAATAGTTACTGCAAAGCCCATAACTGACTTCGACTAGGGTAGATCGGTATTTTTGTGCATCCCTTTACATTTATATATGCTGAATTTCCAGTAATTTCCTCCCCCTTGCTAGTTACCCGTTCCAGCATTTTTGCTCCTTCCCAAGACTATGGCTATGGAAGACTATGTCTTCTAGAAGAGCATCTTCAAATTCTGCCTGCAAACATTTTGCTTTCTCATCAGAATGGAACAGAAAACATCATTGTGCTAACGTATAAACCAATGGTGCATCCACGTTTGAACACCCAAAGTAGTCCTGGCCTCCTTTGCCCCTACTCCCCATGTCAGAAAGGATCATATTTGGAATGCCTATGTATACCAGGGTTTGTCAGCTTGAAAAAGCTGTAACCAAGTAGGATAGGATGAAGGTCTTTAAATACCTCAGTGGCATGCAGATGCTTAACAGGGAATGAATTTTCCGCTCGCTGTGTCTCTTTCCAAACATCAAGTAGGAAGTATGAAAAGAAACTTAAAGGAGGCTCAAGACAAATTCAGGAAGTTGAGCAGAGACAATTCTTGCTACATACTGTGGGCTATCAAAAGTTTACAGGGCCGAATGGAGGGCAAAATGACAGCCCAAAAGCCACCTATCCCTAGGTTACCAGGTTACAATGAAATTATTGCAAATACTCCTGCTTCCCCTTTCCCCTCCCCGGTGAACTGCCCCTCCTCGCTGCCCCAAAAGCAGCTGCCTCAGGCCTGTTGCTGTCGCTTTCCGTGTACAGAAACAAACCCAGTGAAGCGGCCAGGAGCGATGCTCTCGGGCACAGCCAAGTCCGGCTCTCTCCTTTCCCTGCAAGCGGTGTCGGGGCTGGGCCGGTTCACGCTCAGCCACAGCC